AGGTCACTGAAAACGGCATGGATACTAAGAATCGCAGAAAAGTCATGTGATGCGAAAAACTTTTTTGGCAGTTTCCTTAGTTTTCGTCTGAATGTGATAGGGATGTATTCTTTGATGTTAATATGGGACTTTTGTGTTTTCTTTGGGGCTACGGAGTCGAGACAAATGTTTAAATTGATATAGAAGTTTGCAAGAGAGTTGTTCAGGTCATCGGATGAAAAGAACTCGTCCCAGTCTAGACAACGTATCACGCATTTGAGCTTGGCCAATCGACGTCAACAAAACTTCTGCGAACCAGTGTTGTAGGCCTCAGTAATGTGGGAGTGCACCTACATGGCGCAAAGAGATGACAGGCTACAACCTTGCGGTCACTTTCCGGGAATTTGGTGCTGGTGTGTATGGTGAATGGTGGCGCGTTGTATAAAAAAATCAGGTCAAGTATATTATATCGTCGAGTACAGCTGCTAACAACCTAAACCCATCCATTGGTTTCTAAGGTTTGAAACGAGATGGTCCTTGCAGTGTCTCCCATATGATACCCGGCATATTAAAATCACCACCTACTACTGTACAAATTAGTAGGGATGATAGCAGCTTCAATATTTCGCTGATATGTTCGTCAACCGCAGGCCCAGCATGGGGTGACCTATACAGGCAACCAACGGTAATTTTGTAATGTTGGCAAGTGTTGATATTCACGAATACTGCATCATCTAATAGGTCCCAACCCAACGGGAAGGCATTCGAAGATGAAAAATCAGAGCAAACATAGACGATGCAGCCTCCACCTTTAGAAGTACTGTGGTCATTACTACACAAATTGTAATTATCTAACGCCAGACTGAGGTTTGAGGTATCTAACGTACACCAAGTTTCAGTGACTAAAGTGCAGCACGGTTTGATTAAGTAAGCTAGAGATTTTAGGTGATTTAGCTTATTGCAAATTGAACGTGAGTTAAACAGAAGAACAGAGAATTCTGATGGGGCTATAAAAAAGCTTAGATCACTAACGAGATTGGATAAAAGTGTTCTTTCGTTGTCATCATTTGAGTCAACGGAATGTGGGGTGGGAAATGTCTGGATAAAGGCAAGTTCAGCCCCATCTGAGGAAAAATTGCCAAGTTATTTCCTGATCTTTGAAGAGGAGCAAAACCATCCTAGACCAGGTTAAGGGAAGAACTTCGAAGAAATGATCGAGCTTCGGAACAAACCTTATCCAAAACGCGTAATTGCTCTCAAGCTATACTCGCTAGGATGTAAGGTGATCGGAGGGAACATGCTTGCGGTGTATCATATCGCCTACAGTCCTCTTCACCCTAACCGACTGCCCTTGAGCTTTAATCAGAAGCATCACCTAAGAGGTCATCCTTTCTGGTTAGGGCACCATTACATTACACCTTGTAATGTAAAGTGTCACAAGATTGACGTGGACTGTAACCAGTCGAAACAAAAAGCATCTTGTAACAATGCACACGTAGGATTTGGGGGACAGTATGAAGTATGAAGCTGCTTGGTGTCGTCGCACTTAGACACTCGGTTGTTTTAATTTATCTAATGGCACGACTCGCTATTCAAATAGTTGCCATTGTCCTCAGAAGTCGGTGCAATGTGTGTACTGGAAGCTAGACTGCATACTGTTTTTGTATGATTTTCCTGGTCATCTTACCTGGTAAGTCTGGTGCCTATGTAACCGCTCATAGAGTTTATTGTTTGTATTTTTAACTGTACTAAACATGATATTTGCATGCGTGACACCCAGAGGAATAATTGTACCTAGTCTTTTAGACAACGTTTACACGTAGTGATATCTCAAAACCTAAATTCATCTGGCCAGTATCCCAAGAAAAACTAAGCTGGGTATAAATGTAACGTACAACCCTGGAACGCTCTTCCTGAAGATGTGATCCAGGCCACTTCTTCTGAATCTTTTAAACGCCGACTGGATACCCACTTGATGTGTGTCTGGGATCTGCCCAGAAGTAAATGGATTTTCACATTTTAATCGCCACTTTCACCTTTCTTAACTTATACGACAGGCTTACAACCTAAAGGAGTAGTGATCCACGGATTGTAGACGCGGAAGCCGGTTAAGCGAAGGCTTCTATTCCGTCAACAACCATTTGAACCATTGGATATTTTTCTAGGTCTTGTTCTTATGCCGAAACGCATAGAAAGTTGGGGTGTCATTTGTTGGTCTGATTGGTAGCATAAGAAGTGCATTTAGTCGGTGCAAAATAGAATAACATCTTTAAAAGTAGTGGTGATACTGCAAACGCTCTTCCTGAAGAAATTATTTTGTTCCTGCCTAGCAAAATTAATTTACTCACTCGCAGTCGTATGTGACGCCTTTTCGTGTTGTTTTTGGTGTCTTGCCTAATTTTGTTATAATTTACTGGAAGCCATTTATTAAGGAACTGCGTGCATTGACTGAAAGTTGCTTAATATTCAGTTGTCACAGCAAGCACGTACAGGTATTCTCTAGGCAATGAGCCGTAGCCAAGTATGTTTGGTGGCCGGTGGTGCTACCTGACTGTCCAGACTGCATTAGGTTTAACGGGATTTGAGCCGGATTCACTGGTTAGAAGTCCATTTTCTAGGTCATTGAGCTACAGCTCGTCTTATATATTCTCCATGACCTACGGTAATGAGATCCCGTTTATGAATGCTTACGGAATTGCTAAGATGTATTACCTTCCGTTTGCATTTGATATATTTTTGTGTATGGTAGTCACTTAGGCCCTTCATTTGCAAATCTTAAACGTACAAGTCACCAATAAGCAACTGCGCTAAACGTGGTGTACCTTTAAGCGTTAAAAGCAGTGAAGAAGTAACTGCATTGTCTTGCAGTGACTCCACAATAACGTATAGTACCTAGTGTTAAGGCTATTTGTAGGTTTTTATGGAGAAGAGTCTGAGAGCTTAAGGTAAATCCAAGAGGTTTTACCGTTCATGAGGCACTTTTAAATGACAAATGCAGCGATGCAGTCTTATTTACTGTAGTACACTTGCAGCAAATTTGTTGCTCATATCCTTATCGAAGTAGTCACACGGCTTTCGAACTTCATTTTTGCAGTACAGTGGTTCTTCATTCTCTTATCTTAGTGGTAGTAAGATTTTCCAGATATCTGCAATACGTGATGAGCCATTCACTGTTCCATCTGTTAGGTATTGATTCAGTGAACAAAGATAGTGTGATCTGTTTAGAAGTGTCACCCTATCCAAACCTATGGTGTGATTATAGGTCAGTGCATGCAGAGCAATAGCCGAGTTTTCGTCTGAATTACTTATCTTAGCAGAATCTACAATTGTATGTTTCGCTAGATTTTTGTTCTGCTATTCTGACTGGTCCCTATGCGCTGCTTTGACCTATACGTTTGACTTCATAGTCATTACATGGTATTTGATAGTTATTTTTCTTACTTGGCTCTACCGGATCTTTTAGCCTAAAGTTTCTTTCTGAGCGAGTTTTTGGGTTTAAATGCCATCCTGATCCCAGAATTACTACGAAATCTACGTACAGTTTCTAATGTCCCTTCTTTACATGACAACACCATTGGGCTACGTGTTCAAGCAGCGGTCCATCTAATGGTTTGGGCCGCCAGGGAGTATCATTAGCCCTTACAACAGGTGTGGCTCATTGCCTACTGCACAGATGTGCACAAGGTGATTGAGTGGGTTTTTCTTGACAGATGTCGGGTGAGATGGTGTGAAATCCAAGTATCTACTCGAATGTGTTGGTTTCCTACAATCACTGGTATTTAAGCCTGTCTTCTCTTGATTTTCCAATCCCATATAGGTATAATTACCTACCAGTTAGTATACACTTAAACCCACACGATGCTATGATCTTGCTGGGGTGAACTCCAGTCAACTCCTCTGCAGTCACTTAGTCTTCAGTAATCCGTCCGAGAAGGTGAATAAAACGGTTCACATAGATAAAGCTGCTGAGATATCAAATCATTTCGGTTTGCGGTCAAAAAGTTTTCTGTTTATCTCTATTCCATAGTTCAAAGGTGCAAACTGCATGCCACACATCTAATTTTTATTAGCATTCTCAAACAAACATGTTCACATATCTGTAGCAACTATGGACTTATCAGAAAGTGATCAATTTCGTAAACCACCGCTTTCCAGAGTGTATGCTGACTAAATATGCTATGTAAACTGCAATCGTTTGCCGTATTTGAAACGATCGATCAGACGAGAAAAGACTACCTGTTCTTATCATCTACTGGAATGTTTCTGAAGGATAAGGGTAACAGAAATCCCTTTGAATAGTTTTCTCGTAGTAATCTGAGAAAAAAAAATACAGAATCGTATCTGCTGATTGAAATATACGGCTGTTTGTTTCGGTATTCACCTGACATTACTAGGAACATTTTATTCAGTGATAGTAAAACTGGTTATAGTTCAGAAAATAAATCTGTTGCAGTGCGTTGTTATTCCAGAGTCAAGTATGAAGTGGGGACCTGTCCACATTTAATTAGCCACGAATTCATAGGATGGTGTATTTATCGAACCCACAATCTTGGAAAATATGTGAACATAAAGCCCAACTTACCAGGGCGAAATCAGATATCATCTGATCATGAATTTAAATAAATTATTCATTTTTCAGTTACCAGGAGTGGCAATATATTGTTTTGGTTTTTAGAATAAGCTAAATCTTTATTTCTGCCCTTGAACTCGTTCGAAAACTGACTCATCATGACTATCTCGAAAGATTTAAAAGTCGTCATTTTAACTACTAATGACATGTGATTAAATATTACAACTGCGTCCCACGGCTTTATTTTCCTTTAACTAGCCGTGTATTTCTAAGTATTCAGGTTGGATAAAGCTTGTTCATGTATTATGTACATATTTCTTACTTATTTTGTAAACATTGCTGCTACTTTTCAGGACTCATGTGCACTGACGGTATGATGACTCCATACACACACATTTGAATTCAACTGATTTGCCAAGTCACACTAGTTTTAACAGGAAGTCTTTCTGTGATGTCTACCCGACCGCGCCAAAGGCGCACACGCTTCATCAGTGGGAGCACGTTGGATGAAACCGCTTGTCGAACAAAGAAAATACATATGGGTTCAGTGAATCAATCCAAGTCTCAGTGTAACGAGCAACATACTTCTTTGCCTTCTTCACCAAATTCTCCTTTTCTGGATTCTGCAAACATGCTGTTCCACAATTCGGAAATTGGTTTAAACACTTATGTTACCCAAAAAGACATTCCTGCCGATCGTTCTGACGCAGTTGAAGATGAAAATTCGTTCGCATCAAGCATGTTCTCTGAAAAGCTTGTACAGCCTGAATTAAATTTAGTTGCTGAACCTTCATCAGCAAGTGAACATGAGTCATTAAAGCATAAAAACCCACCTATTACGAATAAGAGACTATTAGGTTCTCATTCAAGCACTATACTCGATGCTGAATCCGACGTTAACTTAGATGGAATTTTGATGCAAGGTGAGAGGATGGTCTTAACACCAACCCCAGTGGCGGCGGACGATGCAGGTAGCTCAGAGGGTGAGTATGAAAATGAAAGTCGAGAGCCATCTCTACATCAACCCAACTCTTCAATTCATCACATGGCAAACCAATCTGGCTTGGTCAGTGTTTCGTGCAGCCGAACTTTGGAACTCTTGGAATCTGAATCACAGGAAAGTATGTATTCCAGTTCAGCTAAAGTTTCAGTTTTTGATTCCATATCTCCTGAGTCAAAAGATGGTGGTTCTGATAGGTCTGGTAATCTGCTGACACGTAAACCTAATGGATTTGTGGAGTCGCCAACACCAAGTCGTTTCGTCGCATTGGTAAACTGTAGTCCTCCACATCAAATTCATTCCAGTCAAAAGTTGCACAAACCTGTTGACCGTCTTCAAACTGCCTCTTGCTTTGTTAAGTCTAATAAAAGCAATGTTGATTACTGTGGCTACTCTTGTAATGATGATGTGATTTCTGCGGCCTGTAATTCACAATGCTCTCACAGATTTACAGATCGTAGTTATAGTGAAAAAGAAGTGGAAATAAGACAAGCAGTTTCTTGTAGTACTACAGATCAACTTTCACAGCATGATTTCAATCCAGCTTTAAACTTGGGCGAGTTTTCTCGAGAAGCTCAACATGATGAACCTGTTATAAACTCCGACTCATTGCTGTCTTCAACGTCCAACACAAATGGTATCAGCAACAACTTCCTTTCAGATAGATACCAATTCGTACAAAAATCAGAAGCGATATTTACAAAGCATATTTCTTCTTTTACTCCCGGTAAGTTGGCATTTTGTGTTTTAGCCACTCATTGCATGGATTACTAGACAAACTATAGTTAGTAGCCTAATATCTTTCCGAATCAGGGGATGTTTCCATAAGCATGGCTTACCTCAGGGAAGTCTCACACTCTAACTACTCTTTCTGATGTGACACCTTAGGTATAAGTGCTATATTTCACTGTTTTTATACTTTTAGTTCAGGAATTTCGATTAGACAATCTACTTCATTTAAAAAACATCAATTATTAAATGAAGTTTAATGCTGTTTATATGCCATAAACTTGATTCACAATCTGTTATATTGAGTGTTAAGTTGCGTTTATTCTAAGAGACTGAAAAAAGTACATCCACTCCTCTGCAAATTAAATTGACTCGGTAGTTCGAGATAATTATTCAGCATTCATGCCTTATAACGTAAATGCGTTTACGAAGTCATGATAACTTTTTTGATTTCAATTTCAGGTAATGTTTTCATCATCACTATTCCTTCTTCACCTTCTTCGGAAAACCCAACCACATGTGATCGAAAGTGCGACAATTCCGAAAAGAGTACGTACAGCAACCCTACACCTCATTGTATAAATGATAGTCACAATCCAGAAGTTGAAGGTCACAGCTATCCACTTCGATCCCGTTTAAGACAGGCGTTTCTCCGATTGCAGTGGCAGGCAATGCAAGTGGCACCAAAGTCATTCGGACAGTTACCTACAGAAGTTGTGTTTCGTATAATTCATTATTTGAGTATACAAGATGTATTTCGTCTTCAGCGGGTTAACCATAGATTCAAAGCGATCATCGAGCAGTACCTGCTACTGGTTAAGCGTATTAATTTTAGCAATGGTCTTCCGTTCGCGTTTTTGCCAGAGTCAATCACTGATGTAGCTTTGAAACGTATGCTAAGCCGGACACCTGAGGTCACACATATCCTTGGTTTTATCCCCGAAAAATAGTTGAATCCTACTCATCCGATGGACAGTATTCTAATATCGCTTACGGATACAATTCACTGACGTACAGTGGAATAATTGCAGCCTTTCGACTTTGCCCAAAACTTCGTTCGGTGGAACTGATGGATGTAGAATTGATGAGTGAGTTGGTGCGGCATCTCCCCCGTATTAAGTTCCATGGTATGTTTCGGAATCGTCCAGATTCTTGGGATTGTGAATATGCAGTTCCTTTGCCACCTGAATCAAACGTTGAAACTGCTATTGAAACCACCGACCGTGATTCAGTGACGAACATTATCACTCCACGTGAGGAGATTCATGTTGACGTAAAATGCAAACCCCTTTTCGGCAACTTTAATAGCACTTTGTTTTGCTCAGCAACTGCTACTTCAGCTATAAAAAACAGTCGTGGTAGAAGAAGAAACTCAACGCGTTTGAAATCCACTGGTCATACAGGATGTGGATGTACTATCCCCTCTTTCCATTCGTTAAACGCAACGTTTTCATCATTTAAAAATGAGAGTCAATCGCTCACGCAAATGGCTGTAAACTCAGCTCATAAAACCGCTCTGCGTCATGCGAACTTCGCAAATTGGTTTGAGCCTGTTGGTGAGTTACCTCTTGGACAAGGTTCCCCCTCAACGGTGCCTCATTTTTTGCCATCTCGATTATTTACTGCTTTCACCGGTGGACCTAGTTTTCTTCCTGCTCACGAAAATATGCCAATCAATCCCATGTCTTCCCTAGCACAGGACTGCTGTGCAAATACTGTAGAATCGTTGCGTAGCATGGCTGTCGCACATTTTCTGCGGTCTGGTTTGCCACCGATTGAAGCTGAATTGATTGCCGTTGCTCCCTTTGGTTATTCACGGTGTTCTCTGCATGGTTTGGGGTCAGGTCGAAATACTGTTCGGAACGCTCATGGTCCAGTTTTAGCGTTTGCTTTTGGAGCTACTTTCGTCCCTCCACAGGCAACTTCATCGTGCATTTTGCCATTCAGCAATGCATCAAATTGTCGTATTTTCGATCCTAGACAGAACAATGCTCTCTTGCTGGGAGCTAACTTACTGCGTGGAGCACAAGGACCTCATCTAGCTTTTGAGCGCATATTCAACTTTCCACAGAATGTCAACCCGGTTAATGTTGCTCGCCAGATTAATCTCCAAGATCAGGCAGGAGGAGGAAACCAGCAAAGGCAGCAACCTCAACGTTTTCGTCGACAGCGGTCAAATGCAACAAGTCTAAATGCTAGTGGTCCATGGTTAGTGTCCCCGCTGCCCAGCCAATTACAGTGGATTATTTTACCTCATGCTATTACAAATCTAACAAAGTTGGATCTTGTCTCTGTTGCCATTAGTGCTATACCTCGACTAGATAACATCAAGTATCTACATCTTAAATGGGTAAGTACTATTCCTTGTTTAGAAAGCATACTTGTAACGGATCTTGTTTAATTATGTATGAAGTTTTTTAGAAATAGTAATAAATTCCACAGATTTTGTTGAACAGGTTCCAGTCAAGGGTGTTAAAAAGTAACAAATTCTGTGTTTCATGTACAAGTTAATCTTGAATCAAATATTCAAAACCTACTATATTTTCAAAGGACTTGGCAATCAATCAGTACAAGCCAGTTTGCACATACTCAGTGTCTCTCTAAAAAACTGGTTCATCAACCTGGATTATACCGATAAATATTGATTTCACAAATTAATAAAAATTAAGGTTGCAAGTTAATCAAGCCCTATTTGCTCATCTGTTTCCTACGTGTACACATAAGAAGATGTAACAAAATGTGAAATATATCTTGGTACTAATGAAAGAAGTACATATATAACTCTTGAATGTTTGCTAGTATCCATGCTGTTGTGATTTTGCATTTTTTCTCTCGCTATTTGACCCGGAATTATCTTCACGCACATAAAGAGAGTGAATCAGTTGTGCACACGAGCCTGTTTGCTCGTTATCCCTACAGCATATTCAGCTGTAGCCTCTCGGAATGAACAGGAATCTGTTGAGGTCGACTTTGATTCATGTCATCAAGATTCCTTACTCCTTAATTTTTAACACCATGGAGACCCCAATCAGTTATCCTACACTTGCTCATGATACAGGTCGTCCGTGACTGGCTTCACAGCTTCCATCATTTTTTTGACTGTTAACAAAGGAACTTTCAATGGCTCTAGTGTTGTTAAAACCAGAACGACATGATCTGCCAAGGACTTTCAATTGTATATTGGAGTCCCTAAACCCTGCGTTCATTTAGGATCAGCCATTGATTTTAGGAAAAGAGAATGTACGTTACTATGGTTGTTATCCTTTCTTGTTTTCATCGCATTAAATCTGGTACATTCTAATGAGCTACTAAAGAATAAAGTTTTTGTAGGACTAATAATATGTAATATTTTTCGTTTAGATTTGTTTTGTTATTTTTTGCAAATGAAGGCAACTCCATTAGTGAATCAGTATCAAAAGGGGTCGTAGGACTTTTTGTTTAACTGTCTAAAATATCACATGACATATTAACACTTCAAAACCTAAGGCAACACGACGAGAGACTAAGATACGGAAACAAGAGAGTCATGAAACTAACAGGGAAAATAATTAGATTTAACAGCCATAGCCATCTATCTGAAGCTGTATCACTAAGGTTCTCCAGTCATTATTTTCGGTTATTTCTTGAACCTAAACCTGGAAGTCTTCATTGCCCTACATGACGCAAATCAGCAGTCAGAAACTGTAGGAACTGACGTCATACTTTAGTCTGGCAACTCTTGGTTTTCTTCCAACCTAGTCCTACTTCTGCTAACATCATTCTTCGAAGTGGACGATGTGCATTTTACATATTCAAATCAATTGGGATGATAAAGATTCTCAACCTCGGAAACTAGCGTACCCCTCTATCCTAATGTTAATGCTTCTCATAGAATTGTCTCAAAATGTGGATATTATTGTGAACACTAAGGTTGTCGGGCACGTGTATCTTATGTAGTCCAACCTTATTGTTCATGTTTTACAGCCATATAATAGAACAGAGTGAACTGCAGCTCATTACACTCAATCCCTAATAGGCAATCGGATATCATGGCGATTCCATAAATGGCGTAAGCTGGAGAAAGCCAGACAAACCTTTAGCATCCGTTCCGAGATTTTGTCGGTCACTAATCCACCAGGGCTGATCCCCTTTTCCTTGCATACAATCTTATCTATATTGACATCAGTCTTCTTTCTTCCACTTGTTCTTCGCATGCTATTGGGAAGTGTGTTAACTTGACTGATTCAAAATCGAAAAAACGAAATCCACTCAACAGCCTTGTGCACATCCGTGAAGTAGGCAATGCGCCACACCCATTGTGTGAGGACTACTGCTACTATCTGGCTGCCCAAACCTCGGTAGGTAAAGTCGGGCTCGGACCCGTAACCCAATGGTTGATAGATGTCTCCTTATACCGATCGACCACAGCTCTACACTTGAATGATTCACTTCTATGCCAGTTTCTGCGTTAGTTTTAGCTGTCTGTTGGTTGTAACATCTCAGTGTCACTACAAATGACAGTAAAAAATAATTCAACATTTGTTATCTGTCTCGAGCTTTCGTTGAAATAATGTTAATGGTGTAAATTAGTAACCATGTGCAGGTTTTTGTATTTAGCAATTATATCTGAGGGCTGGGATACTATCTAGCTGTGTAGACTAGGGTAGTTAAAGCGGGATTCAGACCGGTAACCTGATGGTTTAAACCCAGTTGGTTGAACCTATTGGCCACAGATTTCTCTGACCACTGACGCACCTGGGCTGACCTGACCTAAGAAAATCAAGTATGATTACTGAAACATCCAGTGTGTCTTCCGCTTAATTTTGAATGGTATCTGTCAATATTATATATATATATATATATATATATATATATATATATATATATATATATATATATATATATATATACTGTAAATCCCTTTTTAATATGTTTTCTCAAACTGCTTATCTAACATATGCTGCTATCATTCACCTTAGGTTGTATTCGCCTCCAGTGATCCATTCTTTAGCTTTCTGGCCCCGAAATTGCAATCCTTTGTGATGAACAACTGTAGTACCCCATCAAGAGTTGTTCGATATGTTCGTATTTTCTCAGCTCTCTCACGAGCCCCTCAACTTGCCCGACTTGAACTTGTCGGTACACGTTTCATTGGTATGTCTTTTGTACGAATGTATGCTTACATATTCTTAGTATTTTCCCCATCATGTAGTTAAATCAAGTTTGTTGGCTGTCCACATTCACTATAAATGTTTAATAGCATTGTCTACCACAACATTCTTAGTTTGAGTAAAGTGAACAGACAATAAGTTCGCCATCTGATTAACTTGTTTGTTAATGAGGTTTGATATATATAAGCCGTTGGTGTTTTCCAACTTGCTGTTTAGGAAAATTTTTCAAGTGATGTTTAAGTCATACTAAGGAAGACAACTAGTCATTGAAAGCTCTTTGTCAAAGAATACCAGGCCGTAAAACGCTTTGATAAAAATACTCACATCTTCAGCTACAGATAGCCTCTATGCTTCCACGGTGAATTACATAAGTTTTCGCAGACTATGATCAGCAAAATATGATTGTGTCTAAATAGGGTGATGGTTATTTGATAGACCGTGACTTCCGCTAGTAATGAATCTAGTTTTAAATTTGCAATCTTTGGCGGACCTTGAGGTGGTTATTGAAGCTTGACGTTTTGTTACATTTGCTGTATTGTAGACTGCCTCTACGGATGACCAAATATTCTTTGTGATCATATTTCTTGCCTTCCTGTTGGGTAGTTTTGAGTAGGTGGGAACACATTCTGAATTTCACTTCTAACAACTACAAAACATAACCATGATAAAGAATAGTTTCATAGTATTTTACTTTTGTTTCATATCAGTAGTTGAACTCCACTTAGTAAATGAGATTGTGTTAAAGTTAATAAAATTCAGCTTTGGTACAATAACCATTGAATAGAAGTTTGCTAGTAACTCTTTTGAATACTTTTTTATCTTTTTTAGATGGCCTAATTGGGCATATAATCGATGACACAATGTCACATGGGCGAGGGTTTCGTAATCTTCAACGCTTAGTGCTTTCCAGCAATAAGGATGCATCTGAAGTAGACATTGGTTTACTCTTATTGGCTGGTCAGCAATCCTTGAATCAAGTGGCCCTACAAATGCTTCATACAAAAAATTCATTATTTGAAAGTCTTTATCATGCGGGTGCAGAATTCCCGCGTCTTGAAAGTCTTACTCTGGGTGGGTAACATCATGTCTTGATATATTCTAAATTATTACTATGCTTTGACCGGTTGTTTAGTGCATCGTTGACTCATTAACATGGCTTTCATTTATTTGGTTTTGGGTACTATTCATACTTCACTTCCTTAAGTGTATGCCGATAGAGAGTACCATTCAACCTCACACTATTATTATTATTATTATTATTATTATTATTATTATTATTATTATTATTAGTCCCTTGGGTTCCTAGTGGAACATAGGGCTTCAGTAGCACGTCTCCATTCCACTCTGTTCTCTGAGATCTTTTGAACCTGGTTCCACGACAGCCCAGAGGCTCTCATTTCCTCCTCGCACGACCTCCATGTCACCCTCGGACGTCCAACTCGTCGCTTCCCATGGGGATTTCACTCGAGGGCCTGACGCGTGATGTCCCCAGTTGGCCTTCTCAGTGCATGCCCAATCCATCTCCACTTCTTCCTGCATATTTGTTGAGTGATAGGTTCTTGGTTGGTTCGTTCCCAGAGCTTCTTGTTGCTCATTCTTATTATTCTGGCCATCTGATCTTCAGTAACGAGCCAGCGTAAGCAGTTGTTGATGAATGTCTGTAATTTATTGGAAATGCCTTTCGTGACGCGCCAAGTCTCTGAACCATACAGAAGCACTGACTTGACGTTGGTGTTGAAAATCCGGATGTTGTTCACGCTTTATGCTGAGTGCAGAAAATCTCCACACTGGTTTCAGGTTAATGAACGCCTGTCTTGCTTTTCCGATTCTGGCTTTGATATCCTCGTCTGTGCCGCCTGTAGTTGAGACGATGCTGCCTAGATAGGTGAAGGAGGTTACTTCCTTTAAGTTTCTCCCATTGATGGTGACTGGAGTTTGTTGTTGTTGGTGCAGTATCTTCATCACATCTGTCTTCTCTATATTCACTTGAAGTCCCGTCTTTGCTGCCTCTTCTATCAACTTGTTTGTTTTTGCCTGTAGATCTTCAAGTTTATGTGACATCAGGCACAAGTCATCGGCGAAATCCAAGTCTTCTAGGTTCTTTTCCGCAGTTCAGCCAGTGTATCCCCCTCTTCTCGCTCCCCACTGTTTGCTGCATGATCCAGTCCACCACAGTCAGGAAGATCATGGGGGATAGTAGGCAACCTTGTTTCACTCCTGTCTTCACTTCAAAAGCATCACTGAGCAGGTTCCCATTGTGAATTACTTGGCTGGCACGTGGCGTCTTCATATAGTTGTTGGATGAGGCGGATAAAGGTTTGCGGTACTCCGTAGTAGTGAAGCAGCTTCCAAATTACTTCTCGGTCGACGCTGTCAAAGGCCTTCTCAAAGTCGATGAAGTTGAGGTAGAGAGCTGATTGCCATTCTATGCTCTGTTTTATGATGATGCGAAGCGTTGCAATTTGGTCTGCACATGATTTGTACTTCCTGAAGCCTGCCTGCCTGTTCCGGTCGCAGTTTTGAATCCAGTGCATCTTTAAGCCTCTCCAGGATGATGCGGCTTAATATTTTACTTGGGGTGGACAGGAGAGTGATTCCGCGCCAGTTCTTGCAAACACTGTGGTCTCCCTTCTTCGGGAGTTTGACAAGGTAACCCTTCTTCCAATCGCCAGGTACCTTCTCTTCCTTCCACACCTTCTGCAATAGTGGTGTGAGCATGTCTGCTGTTGTCTCTGCATCTGTTCTCAGTGCTTCTGGCGGTATTCCATCTGGTCCTGCCGCTTTCCCGCATTTCAGTAGCTTTATGGCGTTCACGACTTCCATTTTTGTGGGAGGATTTATGTTCACTTCTAGTTCGGCGGCTGCAGGTGGTATTTCTGGACGAAGTGCAGGTGGTGGTCCGGCCTCACACTAATGGTGATTCATAACCGACTGTGCAAACTCCCATATAATCCCTGAATTGCGTCGTCGTCATGGTGCACCACTTTGTTGATTTGTCTCTTAATGATGTTTCATATTAGTAGCCGTCTGGTAACTAAAATGGTTGAAAGCAGTAATGTAATTGACTTCTGAGTTATATTTACGTGGTATGAAACAATTAGCGGCGAGTGCAACACTAACGATTCATGTCGTTTGTTTGTTCGATTCAGTGATTGTAGGCCATTGCATTCATTATGACAACGATGCAAAATGTTTGGGACTGATAGAGTTTAAGGATACGTACGATGTTTGACTGAAAAGTTTTAAAACATCGGTGATGTTTCCTCTGTCTGTGTATATAGTGGTTAACACTTGTTATGGTCTTTTCTGAATTGTCTAATATTGTCAGCTGTACATTTTGATCGAACACGTCCTCATTGCACCGTAGCTTACCATATATACATTACCTGCATTTTTTGCATGACTTTCATAAGAGGAAAGTTGTAGGTGATGTTATTGTGCCAAGACGTTTTCGTTAGAGGTTTACATTCTTGGCTTTTATGAATGTAAGTTTTTATTAGACTCGCCTACATCGTCTGTCGTACAAAGGTACAGACCGGTTTTTAAAGACTTGATATCATACGTGCTGCAAGAATTCTAATTCTGATATAGGGAGAGTGTCTGAGTAAGAATTTATTACCATCCTTACTGACATTGTTTCCTTCCTACCGTACCAGAAAGATCTCTTAGATAATGTTAGAACGGAAAGCAGTTACCATTGTTATGTAAATTGCTACGCCATGAGGGGGTCTTGGGGAGAAGTCGTACTGCTGGCTGGCTAGGGTGTAGTAACAGCAAGTTTTCCGTGGACAACCAGCAGTACCACGCGGATGTTGCCTTTCCCTATGGGAAGGGGGTGGGTTAGGAAAGAGTAACCCTAAAAATAGCACCCTGTTATTTCGTGCCAACAATGGGTCTTCTAGCTGCATCCAAATCAATCAAGGCTAAACTTCAAGCATCCACATAAAGCCGTGTGCTGTGCGATCCCAAATCAATACTACTAATCTACTTTCTGTTTCCTGTATTGCAAGAAACAGTAACTTTTTAGTGTGGGCACCCGGAAGGTATCAATCGCCCTCACAACTGTGTCAACACTCAAGTTCCCTCAGATCATTATCAACCTCCTCATCTTTACTTTTCAATCTTTATTCATGTCTCTCAGTCAAGTAATGAAGGAATTGAATTCGAGTACTATGGTGGAGTGTAATTCCATCACATTACCACAGTGAAACAGTATTATGTACTAATGATGTCTTGAGCAGAATTTATTGATCGTAATCATACCAAGGTAATCACACTATTTTCTAGTCTATCTTTATAGTTCTGTTTTTTTCCTTTCTTTGACCTACTTGGTAGTAAAATTTACCACATATCGAGTTGGTTGATTACATAGTTATACGGCAGCCACATCTGAGAATGCAATTGAATGGTGAGAAACGCATTGCAGACATTCATGTATATATATATATATATATATATATATATATATATATATATATATATATATATTCAATTGCAAAATTTTGTATTAGGACTGACCTTGTTACTGGTGCCTGGTTTAACAGTAAGAAGTAAGGTAGTGTGGCAAATTTAAATTTCTCAATGTAGCTGAGCATAGTGATTTGCAGCTTAGTGTCGGACGGTTTGGAATGTATTGCATTCTCAGATGTAGCTGCCGTATGACTATGTAATCAGTTTGTTCCCCTGCGGATTTTGCCACCATTTTTCAGCTGCTTCTTGTGTACTGTTTTCGCGTGCTTTTGCTACCAATTTTATTATTTTGATCGGTTTGTTTCATATATCGTTCGTTGATATGGTTTAGAATCTACCTTCTTTGCGCAAATGCATCCACTTATCTTAATCATTGTTTTACATTTCGTTAATTTTCTTTCATTCTTCCTTTTTTTTCGTACGACTTATTACACTTTTTGATCGTATTCTCTTTCTTTATCTTTGCACTTTCCGTCTAGTAGTTACTTTGCATCTTTTTTCTGCCGATATTAAGTGTGACAATCTGTTATGGAGTAATGCTGGGTTCAATATTGCAGTTAGCTTAAAGGCTGATGTGATGAAGTTTAGCTAGTGAAACTAAGGCATAATTATGCTTGAAATCATAGTGTTTTCTCTCTTTGTTGTATGGTGACCTTGTTATCTTCCCATGATTTCTTTGATATGGATTCGGTGTTGGGTGCTTCAACAGTGCATATATATATACATGCATTTCCTAATTAACCTCATATTTCTCTCTTCCTATGAGAAATTGATAGTGTTTGTGTAATCATGTAGTAATGTCAGGATAGTCAAACGCCTGTTCCAACGTATACATAAGGGTTTTTTGTTTTTATGTTTCTCTTGTAATTAACACGCTGTTACATCACTTTGATAGGTGAAACTATCGGTTTAATAAAAAAAATTATGCACTCCACTTTTGATTCCTTCTTTCTCTTCCAACTTTACAGGGTATTTGGATCCTTATCAGTCACGTTTGACAGTTTCTGAATTGATGAGTCTTGGTATTGGCGAATCAGCTGACCATTTATCACCTATATGTGCGATAACCGATTGGGGTATAGCACTTGCATTTTTCATTTGCCCTCGATTGGTGAATATAACCATTCGAAGTGCACCTTATTTAAGTAACATAACTCGCTGGTTTTCGGCTGGATTCTGTGATGAGGACTTACTTCACACTGTACCAACTGTTCTGCCTTCGTCGAGTAATGTTGATTCTGTTCAACAGAATACTGGTGGTAGTCAAGAACAATCTACACAGTCTGGTGTGACGGACAAACCTTCAAAAACGCATTTCCTACCTCTACGCTCTCTGACGTTGGAAAATTGTCCTGGGATATCTGTTGAAGTAAGATTTTGACATACAGTAGAGCTCACGTAAAGTGTAATCTTAGGAAGTCTGGTTTTATCTCTGGAGCAGAACTTTCACTGGTATGTTTGGCAAAGAAGTAATTGGACTTCGCAAAACAAGTGGATGCACTTTGAACCAAAAGGTTGTAGAGTATTTATGTGGACACTTCATATCAATCATATAGAGAATACCTAATATGACAAACTATGTAAGAAGTGTCGGACAACTGTACTTCCACTTAGGAAATCAACTCAACAAATATGTTATAAGTATTAACTTGTTATTAGTATCATTACCTTTAATTTGATCACCAGAACTGTTCTCGATTGTACTGTCATTAGTACTTACCTATGTATGCATCAAAAATGTCGCGTAAAATACTACTATAACGATATAAGTAGTCGAAAATCAGTTATACTGATCTGTACGTTACACTAGTCAATTTAGAACATCATCAAGTAAATTGAGCTTATAGAAGGAAGTGATCCATTTGATTCCCTGTGTCTGTTTATGGAACTGAAGAAAATATGCAGAGTTCTCTTTGTTGTTAAGTTTATAAACTCAAGAATTACTTTTCCTTCCTTTGGTGGCATTCTGAATAAACTGAAGAGATAAACTATTCCCCAAAGACTTAGTGTCCTAACCTAATTTCGATTGACTGAATTTAATATGCAACAGATAGCAGCTACCCATCAGAACACAAAAGAAGGATAAGTGTTTCAGCGATGAGCCAGTTTTCGGCGATTTCTTTCTCGAAGCTGTACAATCGCAATTGATGGTTGAAAGTGATACGTCAGACATTGCAACAAAAATGTTATCAATACATGAGCTGTCATTAAAAATCAGGAATTGTGATGAATGATGATGATTTAAAATATGACTGAAGTTGCCTAGTGAAAACTAAGTTTGAATAGGAACATCACAAAATATTTGAAAGTCCAATTATGATCAGAAAGTTTAAAAAACAAGGTTGAAGAGTAAGTTACTCTAGAAGTAAGCAGTGTACAAAGAATGAAGTGATTTCAAGGATTGAAAGGAGAAGAGGTTAAACAATTTTCTTTTGCGTAGAAGAGCTTCGGCGATGCAGAGAATATGAAGACATACAGTATTTGGAAGGTGTTTTCCTCTTTATAAATGACTTTGAATAAGGAGGTTATCGAGACAGGGACCGTGCTCATAGGGTGCTCAACTATAGCAATTCTTGTCGAGCCGCTGTGACCATACAGCGTAAGGCTTCTGGACCCTTTTCGATAAAAGTCGCACGGAACGACCTCCACAGGATTGAGTGAATCGATGTACTCATAGTAAATATACGTTATGCTTTGCTCATTTGTAGGCATGAACCTATGTAATCATGCACTATCTACTAGTTGACCATGTATAATGCCAGTATCTTCAGTGTGAAGCTGTGATTAGGTAACCTAGGCACTCGATTTACGACGAGTGAGTCACATATTTGAATCTCATTCTACCTATCGAGGTTAGAGCGGTTGGGTAGTGTCATTATCCCCTACAGGAGGTGCTGCTGCATTATTGAGTGCAATAATCTGTAAATATTCTCAAGAGCTGGCAGTTCGAATATCTTTATTGTCTCCTAGATTTTAACTGTGCTTTCTTAGAATATTACTTTTTATACTAAAATTCTCGTCATTACACTGATGTGTTATGAACCTAACTTTATTTGACTACAGAATCTTGAACGGGTTTTGAATGATGGACATCCTTTCCCATGCTTAGAAACTGTAGTTCTGAGAAATATGTTTATTCCTCAACATGGAGCAAGCAAATCTTTCATACCGACATCACATGCGTCTATGGATCATGGAACAACTGGTACCAATTCTATGGACGAATCTATTGATTGGCGAAAACTCAGTCATCTGTTAGCACTGTCGGATCTGTTAGCTGCTCGTCGAATAGGCTATTCGCCTTTATCACCAGAAGGTATCAGTTTGGGTGCATCTGTTCGTGAAGTTATTCACATGAATCCTCCACGAGGCTTCATGCCGGATACCTTACGAGCGAAACCGCATGATTTGTTTGTAAGTTATTATTTGTCTAAAATGCATCTTGCTTACCATATGTGTATATTGTTTTGAGTTTTCAAAGTACATTTTCTGATTGATACTACTTACCGATGCATTATGATTGTGAAACCTCAGATATTTAAGTGTATACCTGTCCAGTGGTTATCCACTCTACCTCGTAGCACTTCAGTAATACGAAATGAACTAAACATTTTAATTTCTGCACTTTTGTATTCGATTTATCACCATATGAACCACTGTCTTAAGTTACTAACACCCAATAACCAAAAGGCGGTTACTTCATCGTCTGATACCAATGTCTTTTTCTGACAGTTGTAATCCCATTGTTTGTTTAATATTTCACTCATTGAAACAGTATTATTTTTATTGGATGACGTTTCAAGCATAATTGGTTGTTCATTTTCATATCAAATGTAAATGCACACCTTTCACATACTATTTTTACAGTGCTATTTCTTTCCTTGTTCATTTATTGTCTGGCTAGTAGAACTTTCCAAATATCTGTAATAGGTATTGCGTCATTCCTGTTGCACGTGTTTGATGTTGATTCCGGTAAACAAAGCTTCAGTTATCAATCTCACCCTCCAGTCTCTCCCTAAGTTAGTTTTAATGACTGTCACTTTATCTCATCCTATTGTGTGGTTATGTGTCATCGTATTCATTACAATAGTCGAAGTTTTCTATAGATTTTTGATCTTACGCTAGGGTTTATGATTTTGGATTTGGCTAAGTCTGTATATTTTGTTATTCTAATTGACCTCATTTGTCTAATTTGACTTATTTGCTTGACTTCCCTGTGGTTGTATGTAATTCGACAAACTAATTTATTTTATATAATAGGCTCCACAGGAATGCTTTAGCATACAAAGCTTCTTTCTTAGTGAGTTTGCAGGTTTAAATCCCACCTCAATCCCAGCTTTGTTAACCATCGTGCATAGTTGTATTTTGCTGCAACCACCATCACCACCTAGTTTAAGGAGTGACCTGACTTCCCACAACACATTCTACTCATTTCATTCGATACAAGTTAACAAATACTTGATATTTAGTAGTTGGAGTCTAGATATAGATTCATTGGGCAAAAATATAAAATATCTTGTCAGATATTTGCTTATTGGTACATTTTAGTTTGACCTGTTTAACTTGAAACAATCTAACCTAAGAAGACCAACCTCTCACTCAGATGACACAATCTAGATACTAGACAGTTTTGCTGAATACAAATCGCAGTAAGCAAGATAATTTTTGTAAAAAGCTCGGAAGATAAAGTTATCTCACCGAGAAACACCCTTAAAGATTCTTCGTTGCATTACTCCTGTATGGTGGAACTACAGATTAGGGTTGTTAAGCGTAAGGTTCAAACAACGAAGGCGATTCAGTGTATACGGTTGTGAACCTTATTGATTGAGGTGGCTTCGGTATGCATTATGCTTTCCAAGATGTTGCCCACCTTGATGCCCGATGTGTTTGCGTTCAAAAGATTCTTCATCTTGTCATCATCTTCACGTAGCAGGACTATGTCATCTGCTTACTCTAGGTCTACTAGGGATTCTCCTGTGATGAGATCAGTCCCTGTAACATCGAACCATGAAAAGGAAGTTTCTATAAGTACGTCCCTACTCGTGTTCTACATTGATCAATCTATCTTCTTGGAGTCACCAAAATGCATTAACTGGTCTCTCCGTTCATTATTCGGGTATTATTTTACGTCTTGTTTTACAACAGACAAGGTAATCAAACTTTACAGACCACTGCATTTCATCCTATATTGAATGCGTTATTCTTAGGTGAACCTGATATCTCTTAAGTGTTGCAAGCAGTTACACCGGTGAAATTCTAATCCGATGAATGACTAAGGCGGTTTATCAGTCTAGTCCGTGTCAACTTTTATAATTTTTTGGGTTGGATTTTCGAATGCTCTATGTTGATCTTAACAGGACTAGTTTAGAAGAAAAAGCTGACTTGCCAAGTGATGTCACCCAGAATATGAACCTCCAGATTGCTAGTCGGAGCTGTGTGGGGAGGTGTAGGACTGTCTGCCTAACTGGTTCCTCAAGATAATAAGGATCAATAATTGCAGAATCTGGGTCATACCGTTCAAAGTCGATCACGTTGAACATTTTACTAACGCCTTATTTTTATCCTTATCCCTCATGCCCTTTATTGTCTTATTCTTTCACTGTGTGCAGTTGGGTTTTTTGGGAACTAGAGCTGATTCACTTCAGTTAAGGGTTCCACTTATATTTGTCTGTCAAATTTCACACCAAGCGCTGAACTTATTCTTTGTATTCTAGTTTACTATGTATTATCATGGTTGCTGGTCGTAATTACACTTCTTTCTCATATGCTTTCTGACACTCAGTTTTCTATGTTCCGTAAAACAGAAGCAAACTTTGCTTTTGGGCGACAATGGCTTTCTTCTCAGCGAAGCTCAGACGAGCCAAGCTCCTTTGTATTTTGACTCATCATTGGTAATTAAAGACGGGACACAGCCGTACACATACATATACACATACTTATCTGTAATTGCAGTGACCTTGACAAGAATGTTATGAGCTAATGAAAAACATCCTGAAGGTTAAACTGGAATCGATAGCATTGTGGTAAGCAAGAGTTTGGTTTTTAAGCGATAAAAGTTGGAAAGTATGGCTGGTTAACAAAATGTGACATTCCTTCAAAGTGATCAGCACGTGACAATGTTTTCTAAGGCTGTGTCTATTTGCATAGCGCATAACTATTGGCATCTTGCTCTGAATCATCGGGAGCATTTTAGTGAACCATCTAGTTACTTGCTAATCTGATACTTATCTATCTATTTAAGTAAGGTGATAGGGTTTATAAGCCACCTAAACATGTTTGATCCTACTTAACGTTTGAGAATTTTCAGCTATAATATTTCTTAGTTTCTAGGAATCGAATATCTCTTTCCTATCAAGTATTTGTTTTCTGTCTTTCAGTGTTTACTCCGTGCACATACCTACTTGAATAGTCTATTGGAACTAGACGGTTCTTGTGGTTCTCCAATGTCATCACCAAACAGAATCTTAAGAACATTATTCTCAGATGATGTACACATTCCAACGCCAAGTAATACGAAGATATCATCGGAGAATATCACCGATAAATCTGAAAATTTCATATCTCGTTCTTCACAAACATGCATTTGTGGTATGTTGGAATGGGATGTTATGTTAAGGATGTCGCAAACACACTTGACGGTCGATCAAAAATCTTCAAAAAGTAAAGTTATATTTGAAGAGAATTCAGTGAATAGTCAAAGTGAAACTAATCAAAATCCTGTTCCTAGCAGTTCACAATCTTTGTTGCGTTCAAACTCCAATCAAAACAATTCTAATACTACAACAATAACACCTCAGTTACAACTTGGTGGTTCGTTAGCATTTCATCCTTTTCCTCCATCACTTCAGCATAAAACTTTGTGCAGAGTGGTGACTGCATCTGAATGGACTCAATTATTTTCTAAAATGTCTACACCATTCGGTCTTCCATTGTGTAGGATTGTTTACCCTGTGACTGGTGCTGATGAATGTTCAGGATGCGCATCTGATCCACTTCTTTATTCTCAGGGTATTTCAAATTATCAGGTAAGGTATATATATATATATATATATATATATATATATATATATATATATATATATATATATATATATATATATATATATATATTCAATTTAATATTTGAGCGGAAAAAAGCAACACGTTTCGTCTCTCGATAACACTAATGAATTGTTCATTTGGTGAAATAGCATCCAGTGCGGTCATTAGGGGTTTCTAAACAAGAATCAGTAAACAATTAAATAATTATTTAGTGTTTTCCGATAATTTATGTCTATTGTCGCACAAACTCAAAGATCTATAGGCGAAAACTAACAAGTTGCCAGAAGAGGCAGGACAGCGAAGAAGGGACGTAGAGAAGACAGATGACGAAGATACCCAACCACAACCACCAACAACAGGAAGCACTAATCACCATCAACGGGAGAAATCTAAACGAAGTTGTCTGTTTCACCTACCTACCTAGGCAGCATCGTTTCGACTACAGGTGGCACAGATGAAGACGTCAAAGCCAGGATCGGAAAAGCAAGACAGGCCTTCCTGCGTTATATGAAATCAGTGTGGAGAACTACTGCACGGCACTTCACTCAGCATAAAGCGTGAACAACATCTGGATTTTCAACACTAATGTCAGTCAAGTAAGTCAGTGCTTCCATGGGATGGTTGAGAGACTTGGCGCGTCACAAAAAGCATTCCCAACAAACTACAGACATTCATCAATAACTGCCTACACTGGCTCGTTACTGAAGCTCAAATGGTCAGAATAATAAGAATAAGCAACAAGGAACTCTGTCCTGTCAACGGACCAACCAAGAACCTATCGCTCAACAAATATGCACTGGAAAGAAGTGGATATGGATTGGGCATACACTGAGAGGGCCGACTGGGGACATCACACGCCAGGCGCTCGAGTGAAACACAAATGGGGAACGACGAGTTGGGCGTCCGAGGCGAGGGTAACATGGAGGAGATGGTGTGAGGAAGAAATGAGAACATATGGACAGTGGTGGAGCCAGGTTCAAAAGAGAGCAGAGAACAGAGTGGAATGGAGACGTGCTGCTGAAGCCCTCTATTCCACCAGCAACCCAAGGGACAAATAATAATAAGAGTTTTCCAAGCTCAGATATCCTAGAGTGTTCTTAGAGTTAGTTCGGAATTTAAAATATTTCTATTTCCATACAAACTCTATAGATATCTTTTATTTTAATCCTGAATGCTTTATTATCTCTTCATAAAGACTACTCAGTTGAACAAGATGAATGAAACCAACACTCATTCGCCTTTTTTATCATACTGTTTTTAAGATAGTTATTTACTCGACCATTGATCTCATCCCATTTTTGTGTAATAAATCTCTAAATGAAGTCATTACTGTAACACCCATATTCTTAGGTGTGTTTTTCTATGCTATACTGGAAGTGTTGTATGCCAGTTGTATTCATGCAATTCAATTCACTCAATACACGATGTCAGTAAAATTCAACACTTAAATTTATGTGTATTCGCTTAATTCACTTCACTTAAATGTCGAAATACAAGATTTAGAAGTACGCTTACAAGATATTTACAATAAAAGCGTGATTTCAGAAACCATCAGCACGACACAATCTCTTTGTTCAGCATACATCTATCTGGTTAAAATGTATATTTACAAAGTGATTTCTTCCCTGTTCTTTTTAGATATCTGCTCCTTCTAAAGAACCTAGTCAAGTTGACCGTGCATCGAAATGGCTAGCACGTGATGCATGCGTGGATACCAGTGAACTGAGATGCTATTCATTCCCGATACCCCAAATACTTAAAATTTATCAACCTTTGAATGCAATCCATAGTTGTTTAACTTCATTGCATTTCGAAAAAGTGAGTTTTATATGCTCAAAGTTTTTTCCCAATCAGAATGATTTTACGGTGAGTATGGGTGTACAGTTTGTAAGCTGGTTGGTATGTTGACCGCTTCACTTGTTTGTACAAGAATGGCCCACCCCTCCAGTTTGGTTGACTGATAATTGATGACATTCCACATAGGTTGTCTTCATAAGTTGTGGTTCTTGTAGAATTATATATTATTATTTGTCCCTTGGGTTGCTGGTGGAATAGAGGGCTTCAGCAGCACGTCTCCATTCCACTCTGTTCTCTGCTCTCTTTTGAACCTGGCTCCACCACTGTCCATATGTTCTCATTTCTTCCTCACACCATCTCCTCCATGTTACCCTCGCCTCGGACGCCCAACTCGTCGTTCCCCATTTGTGTTTCACTCGAGCGCCTGGCGTGTGATGTCCCCAGTCGGCCCTCTCAGTGTATGCCCAATCCATATCCACTTCTTTCCAGTGCATATTTGTTGAGCGATAGGTTCTTGGTTGGTCCGTTGACAGGACAGAGTTCCTTGTTGCTTATTCTTATTATTCTGACCATTTGAGCTTCAGTAACGAGCCAGTGTAGGCAGTTATTGATGAATGTCTGTAGTTTGTTGGGAATGCTTTTTGTGACGCGCCAAGTCTCTCAACCATCCCATGGAAGCACTGACTTACTTGACTGACATTAGTGTTGAAAATCTGGATCTTGTTCTTTATGTTGAGTGCAGAAGATTTCCACACTGGGTTTAGGTTAATGAACTCCTGTCTTGCTTTTCCGATCCTGGCTGATTTGACGTCCTCGTGTGTCTGTGCCGCTTGTAGTTGAGACAGTGCCGCCTAGGTAGGTGAAAGAGACTACTTCCTTTACGTTTCTCCCGTTGATAGTGATTGGTATTTGTTGTTGTTGGTTGGGTATCTTGATCACCTGGATCTTGTAGAAAACGAGGTTTATTAGATTTTTCTTTCGAAAACTTGGTTATATTCCATGGTTTCATGTAAATCAGAATGTCTATAACCGACTTCTTTAATGTTATGCTATTGAAATGATATAATTTAGATAATAAGTCTCAATATCCGGTCGCTTGTTTGAAATGAATACTGTTGTCTGTTGTTCCACTTACTATACTAAATGGATTTTACCACATTTTGTGTAACAAAATGACTTCTTCTTTGAAAGAGTTGTCATAATTCTTGAAAAACAGACAAGTCTATGCTTTGAATTTTATCCTGTTCTTATATGCTAGTCTCTCCATCATTTAAATCAAGAATACTTTATATTAGTTACAACTGTATTTGTTTGAAGGTAGCTTTAATTTATTATATTTGCTAGATGACCTACAGTGTTACTTATAATCAAGTCAAATGCAACACTAATCTGACGATTGTCTACCTATCCAAATTATTTATATGATTGAAGGCCTTTTGTCTTTTTGGGTTAGAAATGGGTGGGGCTAGGCGTCAAGATGCTTGAAAATGACGCTTGATATCCCTTGTTTATATTTTTCAATGTCGATAAAATGGTTCACTCTCAAGTATATCCTACCTTTATTTTTCGGAGCATCAAGATAATGCTCTAAAGTCTTCCTACTTTTCTTTCTGATGCAAATGTATGCTACTAAGTCTTCTTCAGGGCTGTCGCGGAGTCCAAAGTAATGATACGATACAATACATAACAGTGTTAAACGACTGCAACTCGACTACTTACCCACCGAATGCAACATAACACCAGTGATACATTGACACAGAATCCAATACCTCGACTGGTAGGTAATTTGAATGCACAAGTAGGTAAGTTGAGCCAAACAGCAAAGCACTTTGGCAGCGTTATCTAAATTCCAGATGAACAACCAGATGACAGCTGTGCTCAGACACATCTATTTCTGACCAGCTCGAACTTCAAATACGAAGGTAGACTCTGTTTGACTCGATATCCACCGTCGGTGGATGATCACCGTCCCATGTCGAGCACGTGTTTGGACAGCGATTACTCGTTAGTTCGAGCCTATGGCTACTAAACGAACGTGGAAAAACTAAAGCATTACGACGGTTGCGAGCGTAGCTCAACGATGAAATCACCAACTTGTTATTCACACAAATAGCCTGAGAACAGTTAGCAATACCAAGTGACTGGAACAGGAAATTAGACAACGTTGAGGACACTTTCGTATATGTAACTCGTGCCCCAACTCATCTTTTTGTAAGCGAGTCCCTTTCTTAGGTAATGAAACAGTCATACTTCCATGCTTTCTTACGCACTCCGATTATTCCTCTGGTCAATTTAGTTTTCACCTGTGAAAGGGGATAGCAGATTTTTGAGTGGTTGCTATAAGCCATCCCATTTCTTTCCGGACATTCACTTCTTGTGCACCTTGACATTGCTTCTTAACAGTGTCGCACAGTTTTTTCTTCCTCTGTTAAGTACCTGACTTTTTCAAAGCAGTTGTTATTACGTATTAACATCATCCAGAGAACTACTGAAAAGCAAAAGACATTGGGTAGCTGTGTTGCAGCCTAATTTGTAACTTCACAGCAGTTATGCCTCTAAGGCTCTGCGTTGCCGGGCTATCCATGCTATGATCGTCATATTTGTGATTATGTATGTACCCAGTAGTGAAGTGTTTCAAACTAGCGCAAAACAGCTGTCCAGTAGCTTTAATTTGGTGCACAGTCGATTTCAGTTAGCTATGAAAGCTACCCTAAAGCCAATCATTAATAATTACTTGCAAATTACTCAATTAATTTCTATCTACGTTTGATTGCCTCATATATGTAATACAACATCGAATCACATTTATGAAAATTGTCTTATTTCGGATTTTCCGTTATTCATCCTTGTGTTTACTATGGCTTAGAGATAAGCTAGAATGCTGTCTCTGTTATGAGGTGAACATTAAATGTGAATAGGTGTTGTATTTGTGGGAATTTTAATCATGGTGGAAATGAGTCATTTTGTATGCTGAATGAATCATTCTCTCACATACCCACACACGTACATACTTAATTTATCCGAATTTCATTGATTTATTCATAGATATGTTTTTACACTGAAAGACAACTGTATCCTTTTATCAGGGACAGTTGTATGGCATCCATAAGTATCTTGTCTTACAGTACGTATACATAGTCTTTTTTAAAGACTTTAAAGTGCCCTTGTTTGCCTGTCTGCAGCATTCAGTTTTTCAGAGATAAATCTCTACTTGTGCTGAATTAGTGTGCATATATTCTTAAAGCTATAGAGTGAGTAAAGTTGAGGTTAAACGTAAGAGTATTCGGCAAATAGTATGAGCCATTCAGTGAAGGTATCAATCTAGACCAACTGGGCAACCTAAGATACGTTACGAATGCCGACTCACCGTCTACCTGGTAAGCAATGTCAATAGGAGTAGAGTTAGCATGGACGAAACCTTAGACTCATCAGTTCAACGTTTAACACCAACGCATAAATTATTTGAATGTTGATTTAAGCTGTGAATTTGACCATAGGGCTGAGGTCTTGAGGACTAGAATATCACTGGGATTATTACTCGAAATCATCATACACACTGAAGCAGTTATCGAAACAAGTTGAGTCAATTGAATCTCATGTATCCGTATTGAGACTTTGTTGACCACCATCTCAAGTGGGTGAGGTGATGAAGCATCAACACAGACCTATCATAAGGCAACAACTGAATTTTTCTAGTGAGTGACACATCCCGAATTCAAGAAAATTATCTCTCACTAGCGTTTCCACTCCTAATAGACTTTCGTCTACTTATCCGAAATAGTTTACATGGTCTGCCGCGAAACGATTAATCCGTATCAAGTTAAATAAGCGAAAGAGGATCTTCATAAGCGAATTTATGAAGGCGTTTAGTGAAAGTGTATAGAACTGACATCCTTGATAGACACTACTCGAGATTTTTTTTGAAAGATCTATGCACTGTAGAAATTTGACTTTTATCTATTGTATGCTAAACACAAGAAGAAACCTGACGTTTATTTCGTCTAGGATAATAATTGAAGTTGATAAAAGGCTTAACTGTTAGCGATATTTATAACAGCTGTCAGAAACGAAATATCACTTCAAAACTGTGCATATTCATGCATTAGTCAATGGATCACACCTTACTGTGTATGAGGGATGGTGGTGATTCGTAGCTACTTAAACCTTAATAGATGAATTGAGATTCGAACTTGCGACCCAGTGATTAAAAGTCAACTATCTCAACCAGTGAGTCATAGTTTCACCGTCCATCCGAATCAATATAGGACCAGGTTTTACTGCGTAACAATCCGAGTTGTCACGCCTCATATCGGTACGTCAAGTAAAAAAGGAGTGAAACGGAAGATAAAGAAAAGGAAATTCAGTTAAAAGGAATATAAAGTACCAGAAGAGAAAGGAAGAATGAAAAAATGGTGAAATTCGGTTTAGCGTTAAGATAAGGATGTGTATACATCTGAGCCATATCACCTAGAGTCTCCAACCACTGGTTCCTCTTGTCCCCGCTTACCCCAACCAACTAGTCTCCATAGCCGCACATGACTAAAACCAGCAGTCAAAGACTTCGTACATTGATACCATATTTTAATCTGGCCGCCTCAAGCCTTCTTTCCAACCCGTTTCACCACCCAAACTTCTGGAATTTTCGCTGTAAACATTCGTTTATTATTATTGTTAGTACTATTATTACTGCCATCACTCAGTCAAATGTTCTTGTAACAATCCTAATTTACTGCAGCATGTGTTTTTCAATGTTAACCCTGTGAATTTGAGATGTAAACTTCTTTGGTTTCAGTATTTAAAGCTCATTTCATTTATGAGTTGGGGTGAATCAATACTCTCTAAAAAGATATGCACACTATGCTTTCTAATTCTGACACGTACAAATGCGAAAAAGGTCATTACATATTAGTAGTAGTGTAACTGTTAACATATCCATTGGAAATTTTATTATTTTTTTTTATTAATCGTAGGTTGGAATTTCTCATTTGATTTTGCATGAAGCAGCTCATCTTAAAAATATCACCTTAGAAAATTGTACTGAGCTAAGAGCTATTCTATTTGATGATACCACTTCATCATGCGATGGTGATGATCGTAGTCGTAATGAATTCACTGATAAACATACAGATCGATTCCCAGCACTTCGGCGTATTCGAATTATTAACTGTCCAAAGTTTGCAATTTACAATTTTCTCTATGGTGTTGCAAAACTTTATCCTGCACACGATGAAAATTTATCTATTACATATCGGTAAGCATCTTCGTCATCTTGTGATTTATTACTGTTATTGTCTATCGGGGGTGGGGAGAAGGTGGGCTCTCAGTTCCTGAAATCCATTGTCCCCCGAGTGGATTGGCGCGTAAATAACGATCCTGAACAATCACTCTTACTCTTAGTACTACTTCACTGAGCTGTAGAAGTATTAAGAGACGATCACTGACCTGTAACCGATTTATCAGTTGGTTATTGTGGTTAAGTTTCATCAAAATGGAGATCAAACTAATTCATGTTAGGAAATACGTATCACTAAAGCTATATTAAGGAAATTCAGTATTTGCCATAACACCACTTTTGCTTTCCCACGCTTACTATTGGTATGACCAATAGACCATCCGCCTACTTTTTCGAAATCTCCCTTACTATTAGTTTCACTTACTCTTAATGTGTTACTGTTGATAACCGTTGCTTAGATGAAATCGAAATACTCTCAGTAACCTTATGCGCATTCTTGTTGTAGGCAGTAAGCGACATTTATTGTGTGAAGGCTGTTGATACCACCTGATTACCCAAACCTCGGCACATGGAGCAGGGTTCGATCCCGTGACCTATTAGTTGAACGTCAACCCCGTAAGCCAGTGAGCCACAGCTTTTCATGCAGACTTTCTTTCTTCATCTTCTTAATGTTCATATGGACTACTGTTATTTTCGAAATGTGGGAGACTATGTCAAGAGTCTTTATCATTGTTCATACTGGAATAATGGGTGATAAACAGGTAAACAAACTACGATGGGAATAATAGAGGTAGATGTTTTGTGTTTTGCCGCTGGATGCAATTTCATGTCTGCTCAGGTTCATACGTTTCATTAGTACAGAGAGCAATGCAAATCCGATTATCAGTGCACATGAGGCTAATGAAGTATTCCTTGATGATTTAAATGAATTGTGATATATGGTTATCAATTGGGTTTCGTGGTTGTATCATAGGCCAGTCTTTGAGACAGCTGGTTTAAATCGTCATTCAATTTTTTAAAAATCACTACTGATAAAGACATGCTAAGTGAATGTGATTCATACCTAATGTAACTGTTTGAATAGTAACAGTTGTGAAGCATTCTCAATTAGTGTTGGATGCCAACAAATGAATAATATTCTTCATTAACTCATCCCACTGGTTATAATATTAACAAAATGACTTCACATTGGTGATTACTGATTCGTATCTTTCCAGTGAGTGGTTTGGTTACTTTCTGTTTGTCTCCTAAGTGTGTAGTCAAAGCAAAGCAAACAAACCCCTTTGATTTTAAGGGGGATATGATTAGTTATTTATCAAGTGGATCACCTCTCTCGCCCATAGATATCCATAATCACTGTTAGCTTGATAGGTTATTTCACCAGTTATTGTCAGAAATGCTCTCGCGTCCATTATTGGGAATGTTGCATGTTACAGCTTATCTTCATTTTTATTTCTATCCATTGAAAAAAAATACAACACATTGACTTAATCACTCAAATTGATAGATAGGAATTGTTTTACAAATTTGTGTACATTACACTCATTTCTCACTTGGTCAATCGTTGAAGTGTTAGTCTTTTACCAGTAGCGTCGAAAATATTGGCTGCTATCGTACCTTGAGACTTTGCAAAACACGTGAGGATCAGGGCGGTTTTCTTTCAGGTTGTGGGTGCATTGATCATGTGTTTACCCCCCACCAGATGCTTGAATATTGCCACATGTATTGCAGGCCAACAGTCGCTATGTTTCTTGACATTCGGGTCGCCTTCGATTCGCTGAACAGAACTGTACTCTGAAACTGTCTGTTGGAGAGGGGCGTGCCTGAGAAATTTCTTGACATCTCGAAATCCCTATATAAAATATTGTCTCAGGTAGAGTGTTGTTCTAAACCAGCAGTGGGGTTAGGCAGGGTTGCCCGATTTCCCCATTCCTCTTTAACTTTGCCACCAATAACTTTCTTGAGACAGCTCTGGAGGTAGTACGTCATGGTGGTGTAGATCTACTACTTGGAGAACAGCTATTCGACCTTGAATGTGCGGACAATATCATCTTATTATACGATAACACAAGCTGCTCAAGTCGCGCTTAATCAGTTGGCTATTAGTGTCTGTAAGTATGGTATGTGCTTTGCACCACTAAAGTGCAAAGTACTCGTATAAGATTGTCAGGACCCTGTACCTGCACTGACCCTCAGTGGTGAACCGTTGGAAGTAGTCGAAAAATTAGTGTATCTGGGTAGTTGTATGAGTGCTGGTGGAGGTGTGAGTAGTGAGATTTCCAACCGCGTGCCGAAAGCCAGAGTGGTATACGTCAATTTCGGCCATCTTTGGCGTTGTCATGACGTTAGTCCGACCGTAAAAGGTCGGGTTTACAACACTTCGATGCCGGCAGTTCTCCCCTATGCCTATGAAGTTTGACCTCTCCGAGCTGAGGATGTCCGACGACTGTGTGCGTTCGGTCATACTTGTCTCCGTAGGATTGCTCGTACTCAGTGGCGACACCATGTAAGTAATTCTTAGGTACGACAGCGCGTGTTTTGGCATGATGGAGATCGTCATTCAATAAGTGAATTCATCTGGAAACCGACTTCGGTAGCTTGGACATATGTTACTCATGTCGTTCATCGTTTGCTAAACCTAGGACTGGATAGATGAAGTGAATGGGTGGTTGGTGTATGACGTGGCACCGTGGGATGAAGGGTATTTTTATCAGGTTAGCATCAGTTGTTGCTTCATAACTACCTGGGTGGGGCACAAGCGATCACGCAACTCTGTGGTTTGAGACATTGTCAGATTTGGTTAGGAATCGAAACCAGTGGTGGTCATACTGTAGGTTCCTCCTATTTTCTGCTACTGAAAAGTAATGAAAGTTTTGTTTTGATTCCATCTTACCGGATTGCCCTTCTAATCATTTTATTCATATTGTGTTTTATTATTATCCACTTCCCTTCGCTTTATGTCTTCATAACGTCGTTATATTATTTTGTGTGGCACATTTGTTAGCGCCCTTACTGCACTATGTTGGTTTTCTAATAAACAAATAAGTAAATACACAGGAAAACTTATCACACCAAGTTCAACTTCCTACTCATAAATAGTATTTGGTCTTATTCAACTCCTAACATTGTATATTTCAATCATTACACTGTGATCTTAATGCCGTTGATTAATGTATTTTCTTTTCTCTTTTTTTTGGCTTTTTCTCGCCTGTAATATTAAGACCTTTTGGACAGTACAATACACAAGTAGAGCGTGCATTGTGGAATTATTGTCAACATGCGCATATTCTCATATCACATGATTACAAAATTGGTGAAAGTGAACGTGTTATGGAAGAGTTTCATTCCACATTTGATCAATTATTCCGAGAAGTGATCAATTTCTCAGAGTATGTTCTCATCTTCACTTTACAAAATGTCTATCCATGTGAAATTTTTTTAATTTGTTGCACATGCTTTTTTCCCTCCTTCATCAACAGTATTATCTAACTAAATAGGTGAATTAATTACGTTTTCTGAATAGTGGCGTTCATCATAGGTCTCCCAATGTAACACAATTTCATGCTAAATAGTAGGTATTTTTAAGGAAAGTGGATGGATAGTTATTGATTGAAACAGTTTTTTTAATTTCACCACTGTTTAGTGTTTTTCTAATCAACCAGTTCAACATCAATAGGTTGACAGCGTGTTTGTTATATGATAAAATGATGAGTTTCTTTCTACCCCACTAACTTATCGCTAGTTGCATGTAGTCAGAATACTATGTCTCCTCTAATTGCGTTATTACAAACTTTATTGGTGAATGTTGTAATGGAGGTGACGTTTATATCATTGTTTGTTTCTCTTCGCGTTCGCACCATTGACAAAAAAATGAATGGGCTTTATTTAAGCTACCGAAATCATTTGACAGTTTCTCTTCGGGGTATGATTGTAGAATAGACATACAATAGTTCAGTTTGTGTTTTTTGGGGATGGATTGATTTTATGACAATTCATCATGGACAGACACAAGCTGGAGATAGACCTGTTGAAAACTTGAGAGCACTGGATGACTTCTCAAAGTGTACACTCGCGTTCAATCCCTATAACCCAACATTACTGTCCAGTGGTCATTAGTCAGTTGCTTCAAGATGGATTTCCCGGACTTCTTGATCCGTCGAGTTAACTTAATAGGAAGTGAGGACTTTGTGCCTGATGATCGCATTATATTGCGAAATGATATGAGGAGATAAACAATATGAACTGTTAGACTCCAGTTCAACGATAGGTTGGTAACGTGGTGGGGTTGTCAGTGTGTACTGCTTAGGAGTTTCATACTGGCACGAAACAGCTGTCTAGTGTTCTCCAGGTTTCCAGTGGCTCTTCATTTGATATCATTCCTTTATAAATGCTACTTTGGGATCAATCAAACACGCGACCTGACCAGTCATCCTCTTTTGGTACACGTTGGCAAACAATATACGTAAAGGAAATTGACTAGACTAACCAATATTACAATAAACAAGAAGGATATCGGGTGGGAACAGGAGTAAATAGGCATAACGTGAGATAACATACTCAAAATTTATGGGATCAGTTTTAAGTCTCTTGTCACTTTGAGTTCTCTGCCATCTCATCTTACCTAGTATATTTCAGACTGAATCTAGGTGTCGGTAACTTCTTTTGTTTTTTTTCTTAGTTAAGCCACTTTGGCTTCCATACTAGTTCACAAACACTTTTGAGATTAGGGTGAAACATTCTATGTAAACATCCTCTTATCAACCATAGACGCGCATAGACCCAGTTCTTTTATTCCATTTTTATCTGATTATGTACAACTGACTTTAGCTCTTATAGAAAAGGGATTCAACAACTGTGTGCAGATTTGTGCACTAAGCAATGAAGCATACTTAATGTGTGTGAAGACCGAAGGGACTATCTGACCAAACCAAACCTAGATAAGTGTTATGGGAGTTGAACCCGTCACTTCCTGGTTGAAAGTTAACTGTGTGTACCAGGGATTCGCAGCACTACTTTAGTTTACGCACGCATGGTTCACCTCAACCTAGTAGGATAACTCACTAACAGTGTTATAGTCCTTATGTTAGTCTATGTGCTTTTCGAAAATCGAGTCGAAATCAGAATCTACTCAGCTACTTTTGTACAGTAGGCAATGAGCTACACTTATGTATGTGTTGATGATACTACCTGGTTGCTCAGACTTCGGTAGGTGGAGCGGTGTTTGAACCGACATCTTAGTAAACCAGTGAGCTACAACTCCACAATAAGCTGTTACTTTTAATGATACTATGTATCTTGGTATTCGAACCCTTGAAGCACTTCTTATGAATTATATGATTACCAACAAACTGCAGTTGAACATCAAAATTTCTACATTCAGTCGGTGTTGTCGATGTGAAGGTAATTACTGAAATTGTTTTTCTTATGAAAGCAGTGTAATGCTTGTAATGCATTTTGTAAGACAACACGATTCATCGAAGGGTTGATCATAGGCTGATGAAATTATTTAGTGTATAATAATTATTGTAAACTGAAGTGTAAAATTGTTCTTCTTCTCCTTGTCTAATATCTTAGCATGGTTATTCGTCGAGACCTACTTCCTGTATATCCTCAACCTACAGAAGTTTTTCATAATTCAGTGTATAAACGCAGTGAACACGGTAAGTATATTCATTTATTTGTACTGTTTGTTTCACTATACTATATGATGTCTGAAAATTGAATGTACAATTTCCAGTTTACTATTTCACTATTATTATTATTATTTTGTTTTTGTAACTTCTTTGATCTGCTTCTCTGTGTGTATGTATTTTGAGCAAGGTTTACTGAGTCGATTTTAATTGTACCCAACTGTAAACACAGATAGTTGGTAAATTCTACCTTGGAAAAATATTCAGTTCAACCTAACTTGCACAATGATCATCATCTCATTAATTGATTTATTCCGTTTATTGTTTCTTGTCTGATATCTATATGGTGATTGCAAAAAGACTATGGTTATGATCGAATTTATTCAGTGTAATATTCTGATTCTAGCGCGTAGAACAATGTGGTCAAATGTTAAACCCAAGATTGGACTACATAGTTCATTTCTGTTGTAAAATATGAATAGGTTTGTATAATTTGATCCAAAGGCCGTATTGTATGAACCAATTGAGTGGCAAACTGTTCTCGGTGTTGACTAGGTCTTTATTATTACAACTTACTCCTTTATTAGACTATAAGCCATGTGTTGTATAGGACGTTATGATGCTGCTAGGTTGACCAGGACAAAGTAAATGAAGTGGGACCTGAAACACAGGACACATTGAAAGTCAAGCGATGAACTGCATTTTCATATTTATCTTGGGTTTGTGACTTTACAATTCTCAAAAAGTCAGGATCATATTGATGGGATAAGCGACCGCATATTTTCTTCAGCGTCTCATCAGGATCACGGTTTAATTATCAAGTTATTATAGCTTAACTTTTGGTTCAGAATGAATCAACATTTAATTGTTTAAAGGGGAAAGAGTGTTTTGTAATCAACTAATCATTGACAGTGGATGAAAACAAGAAAAGTGTATCGTTATATAGTAGACAAATTACCGTAAACGTGGATCTGAAATCTGATGAATAACTGTGTTAAGGTTGTAATGTATATGAGATTTTTGTCAACTAGCTGTATCTATGTAAAGTTTGTAATCCTTTTGACTTATCATCCAAATCGTTTCAAAGATAAGCGTCCTTTCATGGGTTCAGAAAGAGACAGACGGATTGGGATCTGTATTGCGCATCTGAAGTAAACTAACTTCATTTGACCAGTTGTAATTATGTGTGCTCATCTATTTGGACATATGTGTTAGTTTTTAACCAAGTTATTCGTTAGTCTGTCTGTTGAGCGATCGATGATTGCGATTTACTATTTTTGTTCTTTTGTGTGTGCGTGTGTATATTTGTGTCAGTGTCACACGCATATATGTGTGAGAAGATGTCCTCATCTTATTATTCTTAATAAATTATTATTATTATTAATACTATCATTATATCGAGTGTTTACTTCAGTCTGATGGTCATCATCATCAGTATCAACATATGACCAGGGATTACTGCGTAACGGTCCAAGTTGCTACACCTCATATCAGCACATCCAGTAACAAGGCAATAAAACTCTACGCCTGGCTTCTGCGTTACTCACGTGGTGACACCAAGAAACATGACCTACGCTGCGAAGGCAACAGTGGTCAAAAACCTGAAGCCCTTTCATGTCTTCTACGTTTAATGACCATGTTTCAAAATCATGCAGTAGAACAGAGTGGCAGCACAGTACACTCAACCCTTAATAATAATAATGCTATTATTATTATTAATCTCTTGCGTTCCTAGTGTAACATAGGTCTTCAATAGCACATCACCAATGAGCTCTCTCCTCTGCACTATTTTGAACCTGGCACCACGACTGCCCACAAGCTTTCATTTCCTCCTCACGTGACCTCTCTCATGTCACCCTCACCTCGGACGCCCAACTCGTTTCCCCCTTAGGTTCCACTCGAGGGCCTGGCCTGGGGTATGATGTCCTCAAACCGTCTTCTCAGTGTTTGTCCAATCCAACCCATCTCCACTTTCTTCTGCATACTTGTTGGGTGATGGGTTCTTCTTGGTTGGTTCGTTGCCAGTCAGCCAGCAGCCAGCCAGCCAGATTTCCTTGTTGCTTATTCTTATTATTCTGACCATCTGATCTTCAGTGTCAGTATCGAGTGAGCGTAGGTGGCAGCTGTTGATGAATGTGTGTAGTTTGTTGGAAGCGCTTTTCATGACGCGCCAAGTCTTTCAACAATCACACAAAAGCACTGACTTACTTGACTGAGATTAGTGTTGAAAATGCGGATGTTGTTCACACTTTATGCTTAGTGGAGTCAGGTGCAGTAGATCTCCACACTGATTTCAGATTAGTGAATGGAAGCCTGTCGTGCTTTTCTGATCCTAGTTTTGACATCCTCGTCTGTGCCACCGCTGCCTGTAGTTGAAACGATGCTGCCTATGTGGGTAGGTGAAAGAGACAATTTTGTTTAGATTTCTCCCGTTGATGGTGATTGGTGCCTCTTGTTGTTGATGCTGTTGTTTGTTGGGTATCTTCATCACCTCCGTCTTCTCTACGTTCAGTTGAAGTCCCGTTTTCGCTGCCTCTTCTGTCATCTTGTTAGTTTTCGCCAGTAGATCTTCGAGTTTGTGCCACAAGACATTAGACACGGATCATTGTCAAAATCCAAATCTTCTTGTGGGTCTTTTCATCGGTCCAACCAGAGTATGCCCATCTTTTTGCTCCTCATGGTTTGCTGCATGACCCAGTCGACCACAATCAGGAAGATCATCAGTGATAGTAGGCAGCCCTGTCCCACTCATGTCTTCTTATTCAAAGGCATCACTGAGCTGTGTTTTCCATTGTTAATTACTTGACATGTTACGTCTTCATATGGTTGTTGAATGAGGTGGTAAAGACCAGTGGCACTCCATAGTGTTTAAGCAACTGCCAAATTACTTCTCAGTCGATGCTGTTGAAGGCCTCTTCAAAGTCAATGAAGTTGAGGTAGAGAGTTGAGTTGACTGCCATTCTATACTCTCTTCTATGGTGATGCGTAGTGATGCAATTTGATCCGCACATGATTTGTTCTTCCTGAAGCCAACCAGCCAGCCTGTTCTGGTGGTAATTTTGAATCCAGCGCATCCTTTGGTCTCCAGGACGATGCGGTTTAATACTTTATTTACTTATTTATTTTTTTGTGCTTTGAAGTTTCTTTAGCGATTGGATTGGTTTTACGGGGTAGGGTTGCCAGCCCTATCCTCAAGCTTCCTTCTTTATCCGGGCTTATGACCGACTAGTAACTAGTGAAGTAGTTAACCAGGCGAGGTTGGACCCATGATAGACAATCGGATGTCGTGGCGGCTCCGCATATGTTGTAAGTTGGCGAGAGTCAACCGAGCCTTTTGTATCCGTGCAGATTTTGTCGGCCGCTGACCAATGCACCAAGATAGAGCTGATCCGACATCCCAGATAAGTGAAGTGTTCAACGCACTCAACCACTTCATTCTCTATTGTTAATCGGAGTACTATTGAAGACCATTCCTGGAGCAACAATTTGCACTTAAGTGGCGAAAAGCGTATCCCAAACGTTCTCAAATTGCAACGCAAGGTGTCCAGAAGATTCTACTCCTTGTCAGCGTCTTGACCTAGGTCTACCAAAAATTCTCTTGTGATCAGGTCAATCCCCAGTTTGATCAGATGGCGAAATGGAGGCCTCTATAAGAACATGTATGATAAAATTGAATAAGAATGGAGAGAATAGGCATCTTTAACCAACACCTTTCAACGTAAACAACTCGCCTGATTTCTGGTAATAGGTTGAAATGGAAAGTATTTTATCACCTATGCTTGCAATATTGTTCGCGTTTATATCTGGTTCATGAAAAAATTATTTTTACCCGTTCTCTTTTCATCCTCATCCTAAACCATCGAGAATTGTTATAAATTCTTTTTTACTTGGATTATTATTTTCAGGTTCTGGATGGGATTTGATTACAGACATACCATGGGTCCACGAAGTATGTTGTTCACTTCTTCGAAATAATGAACTGCATCGATCTGATCAAGCGGATCAACTGTATGAATTATTATCTGAATATCAAACAATATCTGATGATTTGAAAATACAACGACATGGTATACATTTTCATGTTCAATTCAGAAATGTTCATTCTTTTGTCGATATTGCTGATGGTTCTTTGAATATGAACACTAATAGTTGTGATCATCTTCCTACGCGTAAAACTGTTTCTTATGTTAACTGGCCATATACAGAAAGTTATTTACTTGCTACATGTCCTTCTGATGATCTTAATACAATGAAGTATATATTAAATGAAGGAAATAAATATCCTATTCATACGATTCAATCACAAATAATAATTCTGAAAGTGTTCATCTACATCCATGGCAGCGTTTACTATTATCACAAGAGGAGACATTAGAAACAGAATCTTATTCATCCTCACGTAAAAGAAAATCACCTTTATCACCATCAATCTATGATGTGTCTAAATCAAAACAAACCTGTAGTCTATTCTTAAATCAGCAATCTTCACTACCTGATACTAGATCAAAAAAGTTTCATTCATCGTCAAGTGATAATAATATACCGAACAACCATCAGTTCTTTGTATCCTCCTTATCATCGACAGTATCATCATCATCATCATCACCACAGTGTAATCAGCTTGTAGGTGTTTTACGTAAACGTTCACATCCACCATCTATCATCGTTTCAAAACCTTGTAAAAAGTTCAAGTCTAAACAGTGATTTCTTTTTTATATATAGACATTTGCATGTCTTTTTGTTTGTGTGCGCCTGTTACTACTACTACGACGACTACTACTACAGCACATTCACCTTTATTTCTTATTTTGTTTCATTTATCAGCTGTTGTTTCATGTTTTCTTCTATAATAATTCATTATTACCATCTATGATGTTATAACAGAAAGGAAATAGGTGAGCAAACTAGTGGTAGTATATATTGCGTTCTTGTCTTCTGCTTGCATATTATTTTCTTCTTTATTCTCTGAAGCAATATCATTAGAATATTATACGCATTTTGATTGGTATTTGTCATTTTTGTATCCTTTCTACACTTTTTGCATCCTTCTTGCACCATACATGTTTATTAATGCATTTTATACATACTCTTAGTGTTCGCATGCATCTATCTCTTATGCTAGCGTGTTATTCAAATCGATTTTGTGTGTGTGGTGTTTTTTTTTTTAATGGTGCTCGTACACGCAATTGATTCTGACTGTGCCTTTTCTTGCACCGTGATTACCGATTCACTTCTATCATCAGTAGCAATCAGGTTATAGCAACACCATTAGTAGTAGTAGTAGTTCAATTAGTTGTAAGAGCATTTCTCTCATTCTACTTAATCTGTGTAAATTGTTCCAATCAGTAGAACATGCCTTATTTCCAGTCAATCAGTTACACATCCATTACACACACTCTGTTTTCAAATCTCTGTTCTCATTGCCTAGGATCAACGTATATGTGTGTGTGCATGTGTTTTGTAAATTTGTGGAAGGTCAGTGTTCACGAGGGGCGGCTAATTAATTTGTTACGGGTTCTGTGATAATGAACAGTTTGAGCTGTGACACCTGCTCGATTTTCTTTCAGTCAGTCAATTAATTAGCAATACCACTAGTAATAATAGTCAGTCATAATCATCTTTCAGGTATCTGTGCTGCTGCTTTCTTAGGATCTCTATGTGACTATCTTTCTTGCCTAATCATTATTTACTTCCAGCACTCGTATGTATCACCATATCTATTCTTTGTTTATTTGTAAATGACTTGTTTGTTTTTGTTGACTATCAATTGTCTTGTCTGCTTAATCCAGTTAGTTAGTCTTGTTATACAGGACTGTTTGAAGAATTTGAAGCCTTTATCAGCCCTTCCTTGTTACCTCCTCTCCAAAATAGTGAGGGCATAGTAGAGGTTCGTTTTTCTCCATCTGTGAATTACTTATGTTCAGTTGTGTGTTATCTTCTCTTTCTCTCTCTTGTTTTGTATTAAAGTAATATGACGTTTTTTGTTCGATTTCCTTTTCAACATACTCCATTCTCTATTGTGTGTACTTTTATTACCAATGGAATATCTGTAATATACATACCTGTAATTGTTAATGCCTACGACTCTACAGTCATAGTCACTATCTGTTGTTCTTGTCTTGTTTAAATTTGTTTTGCTTCTCTCATTCCATGCCAGTTATGATTACACTTATACTACTAATAATGGTAGCACTTGGAGGGAATGTTAAAATATGTATTTCAATTTTTTATGGTTTTGGACAGTTGTGCAAATTTCCTCGATACACGCACACATGTATGGAAAGATATTCTCATATTATTATCACTATTGTTATTATTATCGTCTTATTAACTCTGACGTCGCGTATATGGCATGGCCTATTGTTTTCGTGTTGTTGTTTTGTTTTTTAACTGTGAAAGGGATATACGCAAGTGTATTGGAAAGAATACTTTTTCTCGTTAAGTTATTATTATTATTATTACTCTTGTGACCTCATTGAGAACAAAATATAGTGATATAATTATCTTTATTCATCGTTGGCAGAGATTTTTGGTTAAAATTGTGACAGGATTGTATCGTATGGCAGACTGACATCACGACTCACACTCCTTTAAATCAATTAAGTGTTTTTAACTTAAATTAGCGTCTCATGGCGTTCAGTGAATATTGACGGTTGGTAAATATTCTTACAAGTGTCTAGCACTCGCTCATAAACGAAACATAGTGATGTGAATTAGAATTGGGAGTCATCTAACTATTAAGTTTCAACGGGCATAGAGACTGTTGGTTCAGAACAAACTAGGCGATGATCCACTTGAAGAGATAACGAATCAACCAGAACTTTGTCGTTATTTCACAGACAACACTCATAATTATTAGAGATGAGATATTTAAGTAATCTGTTCTCATCGAATTGAAAGTTTATCTCAGTCAGTATCAACATGGGACTTGGGATACTCTTTTAACAATCCAAGTTACTGTAATAATTCACATGAAGATACAAGGTAACAAAGCGAAAGATAGAAAGGAATGTAGCCAAACGTTATATGAAGAAGGGATAGAATAAATAACGAGATGTGACTGAATAGTTGGAATGCAAATATTGTGTGAATCCAACTTGAGCGTAAATGTCTGGAGTCTCTGACTGTCAATGCATCTTTTCATGTGAACGTTACTCTGTCAGCTTATTCGACTCACACCAACTGTCATTCATTGCTACCAAGTTTTAGTCTAGTCAATGATGGCCTTCTTCCAACCTATCTCCAGTTCATTTTATACATCACGGAATACATATCCGTAACCCACATTTCATCCACCTGGATCGATGTAACTCCACAATCTCATCATTCCTGTTTTGGCTAAGTCTCTGCGCCTAGTGTTTGCTTTACTAATGTGGTGATTCTATGACACGCGCAATGGTGAAAAGAAAATTTTGATGGTTACATTTCACTGCCAATGTAGTAGGTGAAAGCGAACGTTTGTGCAGCGTACCAAAACCTTGGTCGATGGAGACCTGTTGAACTGTTCTTCGAAGCATTCAGTCCATCGTCGCAGTCGTATTCTCTGCAAGTTTATTACCTACTCATCACTCAATAATTGTGTTTTATTTGAATTTCTTTGATAAGTCCTAATACCTGTTGCCCATCCCCTCTACTTCCTAAATAGTCTTCGTTCCTCATGTTCATTACATCGACTCTACGCCAGTCTGCTGTTGAGCTACCAACACTTCTGATTGTGTTCAGAGCCTGAAAGAATAGCTTTAGGCGCAATGCAAAAACGTTTCTGTAATCTGCTGACATCTTTCTGAAACGCTGTTTTGTTACAGCAAACAAGAAACTTTGCAGATATCTTCAAATGATTGACGTTGCCCTGTTCCAATAGCTCTGGCGAGTTTCTTTTTGAAAGTAGCTTCATTATACTTGTCAATTATCTGGACTGAAAATGAGCTTGTTTCTGTGGTTTTTCTAAGTCCATTCAGGCACAGACCTGCACGTGTTTGAACCAACGTGTGATCACTGTTCAAATATGTGCTTGACAATGTTCCGCCGACTCTCTCCAGCAGTGAATGATGGTTTGTTTGTTTTCTTTTTGCCTTCCAGAAATGTACGGTTGTATGAACAGTCGTAGCAGATGATCGCCGTTATCCACGCATTTGACTGGGATTCTTAAAGCTTCTTTCTGCCAGGCTTAGCCTACCAACTTGTGCAATGAAATCGCTTATGATAATCATATCCGAAGGTTTGGTTTTTAGAGGCTGACTAGACAGTTTCTCAGTTGGACCCATTTGAACTGCAATTAGTGGGTGTGTAAGTAAAGATCGTGCAGAGGCAATCCAATTCAATTTATCTTCACTTTCTTCTGCATATTTGTTGGCTGATGTTGGTTGGTTCGTTGTCAGTACAGAGTTCTTTGGTGCTTATTCTTATTCTTATTATTCTGGCCATCTGATCTTCGGTGTCAGTATCGAGTGAGCGTAGGCGGCAACTATTTATATATGTATGCAGTGAAGAATATGGAAACATGAAATTTCAAGATGCTTTGCAAAAACAACTACTTTTTAGGTGGTTAACTTACAAGCCTTCATACACAGATCAGTTATTTCTTTTTGTATTTTGCCATAACTGAAGTATGTATCAACGGTGTTCACATTCTGAACACTAAATTTTTAGTTGTAGTTGCATGCATGGAGAAACGCTTTACTTTTAAGCTACCACCAAAATGATCGGATAAAAGTTTGTCAATATCCGTCTTATCTTCTGTTCAGTGACTGATTGACTCATAAATCATAGTTCAACCGAGTAAAATTAAATTAAAACGTGTCTTACACTATTACCGCATGGCTAGTTAGCTAATGAGTTAGTTATAGTGTCAACCTGGAATCGGACAGCTGCGTCACGCTATTGAACGCCAAACAGACTAGTAATGTTTAAATGACTTTTCTATAAAAAAAGGAAAATGGCAACACTAGATTACATGTACGTCAGTTCTAGATGACGATGATATTCAAGACCCTGTGATTTACGAACATGGCTTTGGAGATGTGTTGGTGTTTCAGGGTTACGATAATGACCATCAGTAATCGCAAATATCCTTGAACTTTAAATACTGACTAACGTTGGTTCATGGAGTGGATAGTATATTCAATCACATTTTCGACACGAAAACAACTGCTGCTTTCTTTGAAAATCACAGTCGTTGTGAGATAACTGGAGTCAGATGGAGTGATATTCACCAAGGTTTATTCTAAATCCGATGCGATAAATATGAAGTAAGGTATTCTTCGATCCTAACGCTGATTTACACAAAGCTCACTGAGTTGCAATGGAAAGCGAGTAATCTGAGAACAACAGAATCAGCATACAGCTGATTTCGTCGAGAAATCAATTGTCCAGAATGCCTGGAACCTGTACAAGTGTATGAGTCAGTTGTAGTGAGAGGGAGGTTACACATCACTCAACAGAGAGACAAGGCCTAAATGCTAATAACTAGTCGATAGACAAGAGCAGACCTAGATGGAAAAAGGTTTGCATGTTGTTTAAATCGTGACTCCAAAGGCCATCCCAGCAGTAACTGATACAACCGATTAGATTCATCGATCTCGTTTAGAAATGTGGCCTTTCACAAAATAAATAAGCCGACTGGCTATTTTAATAGTTGTTAGGATGTCATGCTACGCCACTGCGTTAAATAAGTACCCAAGAAATAGACAAAAGCCTTGTGTTAT